AAACAAGTTTTTGAGGTATAATTTACATACCATAAAATTAACTTCTTTTGTGTGTGTGCAGTTCAATGATTTTAAATAAACTTACTGTTATGCAACTATCACCTCAATCCAATTTTAGAACATTTACATCACCCCAGTAAGATCTCTTGTGCCTGTTTACACTTAATCCAGGAAGGGGGTTTTAATTTCACTTGGGCACATGTATTAAAGGGAAAGCAGAGTACATCTGTGGGACAAATGTGTTTCAAAATGGGAACTTTCCTCAAGGGGCATGAAACTATGTATATTGGTCATTGACATCATCTCATGTCTACCAAGCGTTCCTTTTTATGAGCTTTTCTCTGCTCACATCTTGGGTGTGTGTTTTAAGAAGGGAGACCATTCACTGATAAGACCTTTTCACCTTCAGTTTCTCATGTAGACAATCACAAAGCAGTTATGGGTTTGCTAAATGGATAAGAAAGTAGCTGAGATGTTATGGAGATTTTTCTGTTTTCTAGTGTTCTAGAAGAAAAACAAGCCATCAGTGGTAGCATTGAAGAAGGAAAAAGGCAAGGAAAATCTGGGGTCCAAGAAAGAATAGGAACTCCAGTGAATTAGACCCAAGATGGTATCTAGTAGGTGTCTTTAGCTCTTCATGATTGCCCGATTGCTATTTGTCTAGTGCTATGTAGAATTATTACTTCAATCTACCTGAGTTTAGTATGCCTGTAGTATAGTTGATGTATCAGGATAGACTCTTATACGTGAAAGGAACTCAAAATATCATCTATTTTGTCATTTATTAGTATTTTGCACAATTGATGCCTATAGAAAGAAACAGATTTGCTTAAGGTCACACTTGTTAGTAGCAGAGATGGGACAAGAACATTAGTCTTCTGATACACAGCCTACTGTATCAAATATAAAATGAACTAGAAGTCATGGGGTGACTAGTTAGCTCAATTGGTTAGAGCATGGTGCTGATAACACCAAGGTTGTCAGTTCAATCCCGCATGGGTCACTGTGAGCTGAGCCCTCCCTATAGAGTCAACTACGTCATTATAGTGTGAAAGCAATGTGTAACCAATGACCACAGCTGTTCCCCAATAAAATTTAAAAAAAGTCATGAAGAAGTTTCATAAAACAATGTCTTAAAAGGCAATTAAAAACATATTGAACTGGTAATCTACACCACTGGGCCCCTCCAGACACCTACTACATAAGGCCACTCTACTAAGACAGGGAGACATAGCCCCTCTACCTAATACATAGAAACAAACAAAAGGAGGCAGCCAAAACAGAGAGACAAAAACATGCCACAAAAGAAAGAACAGAACAAAGCTCCAGAAAAAGAACTAAAAAAAAATGAGACAAACTACCAGAGAGTTCAAAACACTGGTTATAAGAATGCTCAATGATCTCCATGAAAACTTCAACAGAGATAAGAAACATAAAAACGGAGATAGAAAACATAAAAAAGCAGTCATAAATGAAGAATAAAATAACTGAAATAAAGAATACATTAGAGGGAATCAACAGTGGATTAGATGAAACAGAGGTTTGAATAAGCGATTTAGAAGACAAGGTAGCAGATAACACCCAATGAGAATAGCAAAAAAAAAAAAAATTATAACCAACCAAACAAAAAATAATGAGTCCCCCCCAAAATGAGGATAGTTTAAGTGGCTTCTGGGACAACATCAAGCATACCAACATTCACATCATAGGGGTACCAGAAGAAAAGAGAGAGCAAGGAATTGAAAACCTACTTGAAGAAATAATGATGGAAAAGTTCCTTTTGTTTCGTTTTTTAAATAAAATTTATTGGGGTGACAATGGTTAGTAAAATTACATAGGTTTCGAGTGTACAATTCTGTAATACATCAGCTATATATCATAATGTGTGATGGTAGACTTTCTTAACCTGGAGAAGAAAATAGACATGCATGCCCAGGAAGCAGAGTCTCAAACAAGATGAATTAAGAGGCCCACACCAAGACACATCATAATTAAAATGCCAAAAGTTAAAGACAGAGAGAATCTTAAATGCAGTAAGAGAAAGGCAGTTAATTACCTACAAGGGAGTTCCCATTAGACTGTCAGCTGATTTCATAACAGGAACTTTGCAGGCCAAAAAAGATTGGCATAAAATATTCAAAGTGATGAAAAACAAGGACCTACAACCAAGATTACTCTATCCAGCAAAGCTATCATTTATACACCAAAGGACAGATGTAAAGAGCTTCCCAGAAGAAAAACCTAAAGGAGTTCATCATTACCAAACCAGTATTACAAGAAATGTTAGAGGGACTTCTTTAAGATGAAAAAAAATGAATAATTGGCAATAACTTCATATCTATCATCAATTACTTTAAATGTAAATGAATTAAATGTCCCAGTCAAAAGATAGGGTGGCTCAATGGAGAAGAGAACAAGACTCCTACATATGCTGTCTATAAGAGACTCACTTCAGATTGAAAGACACACACAGAATGAAAGTAAAGGGCTGGAAAAAGATATTTTATAAAACTGGAAATGAAAAAAGGAAAACAAAAGCTAGATCAGCAATACTTACACCAGATAAAATAGACTTTAAAACAAAGGCTATAACAAGAGACAAAGTTACTAACAATTGTCACCCCAATAAAATTTAATTAAAAAAATTTAAAAAAAGACAAAGGACCCAGTAATCCCACTTCTGGGTATTTATCTGAAACAACACAACACTACTTTGATGGGACATGTGCATTCATATGTTCATTGCAGCATTATTTACAATAGCCAAGTTATGGAGGCTAGTGGCATGTCCCTGGATGGATGAATGGATAAAGAGGTGGTACATACATACAATGGAATATTACTCAGCCATAAAAAGGACAAAATCTTGCCATATACAACCACCTGGATGGACCTAGAGGGTATCATGCTGAGTGGAGTAAGTTGGGCAAAGAAAGACAAATGTCATATGAATTCACTTACATGTGGAATCTAGAGAACAGGATGAACAAACAAAAGAGAAACAAACTCATAGATACAGAGAACATTTTTATGGTTGGCAGACGGGAGGAGAGTTAGGGAATGGGTGAAAAAGTTAAAGGGATGTAGGGTATATCATAAGGAATATAGTCAGTAATATTGTAATAACTGTGTTATGTCAGATGAGTACTAGATTTATTGGGGGTGATCACTTCGTAAGTTATACAAATATTTAACAACTATGTTGTATACCTGAAACGAATATAATATTGTATGTCAAGTGTAATTGAAAAAAAATTTAATTATGTAAAAAACAGGAAAAAAAAAGCAAGCCATAATGTATGTGCTGGTAGAGAGCTTGCCTTCTATTTGTAAGAAATGCTACATCTGTTAAGCATAATATAGCAAAGTGCAAAAAATAAAGAAAATTAATAAACACATCATGAACTGGTTTTATTTTTCAAGTTGCTTTGGGAAGAGATAAACATGCAATATTAAAAAGAGAATTATTGCAACTAAATAAGCTTGCACAAATCCCACTTCAAAAATAGTAGGTGAATAATTTTAATTTTTTGGTATTTAAAAATATTTCCTATGATAGTTATACTTTAATAAATGTAAATAGGTTTTACATTTGATGAATGTAGATATGTGAAATATACAAGCTGCAAATCATTAATTTTTAGCAGATTAAAATGTATTCAGTTTAATTATCAATCTCAAAAAATACTTTAAATCAAGAGAATTTCCCGTTTTCCTTTAGAAGCAAATTGCTATAGAGGTGATATTTTCAACAAATCTTTAAAAAGTTTGCTGCTAAGTAAAATGTTGACTAGATATTTGTTGTAGGCAAAGAAAAACTGACAAGTTTTTAAATTTAGCAGGTTTTAAAATATTTTTGTGGTAGAAATGTCTTGACACAACAATTTATTACATTAAAACTTCCATTGTCACTAATCTCTAATTAAAATAAAAATATGAACTAGATATAATTTGTAGAATGTGGATAAATACTGCATCACAATTTACTTTAGAAGAAAACTATTTTATGTTTTCCATATTTTAAACCATACCTCAATCTCTAAATTGAACAGCAACCACCATAGTAAACATTCTATAACATACCACATAGTGCAATGCCCAATGAAAGATGTCATCGGATATGCCAGAATTATTAGCACACATTAAAATCAACACTTTTGTGTTGAATTTGATTTTCGGGTTTGAAACACAAAGAGTAAACTCTGAATTAGGAGATAATATTTAAACATTTTCAATAAACAAGAAATAGTCTTTTGGAATGAGTAACGTCTCCCTTGTAAGATTGCTAAAACAGCTCCTGGAGGATGATTGTGGGAATAAAGAAGAGATGCTTCATTTGTAACTAGAAATGGATGTGAACCCATCAGTTTTGATAAGAAATCATTTTAATATGCCATGTAAAAACGAGTCATCATATGTGTAAATGTTTAATATTCTGAGTAGAGTGTAACCAAACTGGGGATATTTTAAAGAGTTTAGAATGGTATAAAATAGCTCCCTAAGTCCCTATTTCTACTTCCAAAATGCCATAAATTACTATTTCCCTGATATCAAAGTAATCAGGGAACAAGCCAAAGAGCTGAATATGTTACTTTGGAAACAATTACAGTACAGAAGGTTGGTAGATACTTTTTTATTTCACATGAATGTAAGTTGACATGTAGAATTCATTTTTCCCACTTTGTTCTAAATAAAATTCTAAAGTACTACTATTCTCTCAAAGTTCTAACAAGTTTAAAAAATAATCATTTGAAAAATTAAGGCAGGGAATAGTTTTCATGAGAGGTTTTAGATAGTTTTACGTAACAGTAGAAGTGTTTCGGTGCTAAAATTGTCAAACTTAAAATAGACCTATTTTCTAAAAAAATATTTTCTAAATGTAAGGCTTTCTACCAAATGAGATTTACTTTTAAGTAATAACTGAGATGTATCTAGCAATTTCTATATTGATGTTAGTTTGTTTTTGAACTTCCTAAAAATGTGAAAATAATAAAAATAGATTACTTGATTAGGAAGTATTGAATTGTGACAGCACACAGAATGGCAACTAGTGCAAATCCTACCATAAGGATTATAATAAATGTATCAACACTCATCTCTATCCTGGGCTTCTCATTTTTACCTTCACTAGGGTGGCTTACCCCCTTTACTCCACTGCTTTTGCTAGTCCCTGGCTGTTGCTTATGAGTTGAGAAAAGAGCCTTGGGACTATATTGTCCCCAGACCTCTTGTAACCCAGCAGAATTCTGATATTGGCGTCCAGCGCAGACCTTGAAGTGATATTGTGCATTTGTGAGAAAGTTGGAAAAGGAGAACGAAGTGTCCGGTCCTTTGTAAATCTAAAGGAAAAGGAGTCAAAATTATATTTTCTTGCTAAATAAAATAACATGGCATGGTACTTGATAATAGGAAAAATATGAAATAATCCCTTCATTTCATGAATATCTTGACACAAAAAATAAAAGTTTACTCTTATCGGCTCAAATGTCTTGAGAGGACCCAGCACTGCTTAGGTAATTTTGTTCAATGTAGGAAATGATAAAGACTTATGATTGTTAAACTTTAATTGCATTTGGTTTGGAATGAGTTGTGCATGTGGTCAGTGGAACCTAGGAATACCAAATCATTCAATAGTCATAAGTTAATTAAATGAATAAGCTAATTGTCCCAAAATAAGTATTACATACATAAAATTCTAGGGACCAGATAAGACTTTTGTATAAGATTTAGTTACTTTTAACATCCTAAAAGAATATTTTACTCCTTGACAAGATCTCAATCCCAAGCAGGATACAAAACTATAAAAATTTATGGGCCAGCCGAGTGGCTCAGTTGGTTAAGAACTAGCTCAAGTGTGTGAGCTCTGAGCAACAGGGTCGCCAGTTTGATTCCCACATGGGCCAGTGAGCTGCGCCCGAACTGAGCAGCTAACAGGTGGCAGGATGGCACGTGCTCCTAACAAGGTTGCCTGTTTGAGATGGTGGGCTATGCCCGCCCACAAGTAAAGACTGAACTGAGCTGCCGCCGGGTGGCTCAGGGAATAGAGTGCGTGCTTTTAACAAGACTGCTGGTTTGACTCCCGTATGGGATAGTGGCTATGGCTACCCGCAACTTATTAAACACGGCGGCCGACTGGACTTGGAGCTGAGCTTGCTGCGCCCTCCACAACTAAGATTGAAGGACAACAACTTGGCTGTATCCCTTCCCCAATTCCCCAATAAAATATTTTTTTTTAAAAAGCTATAAAAATTTAAAGACTAAATTTGCAAAAATTTACCAGGTCAGTTTGTTTTTCACTGATGAGTTGAAGATTATAAACAATGGGATCTCCTTTTATTGGCTCCAAAGACTCCCATTTGATCTCACAAATATTGTTATTCACCTGATGTAATTTAGGTGCTAGAAAAAGAAAAAGAGAATTTCAGTTTAGAGGGCTCCATTTTCCCTAGATCATCTTGAATACATTGATATCTCTCATATAATTTCCCATGGTCATTAAAAGGCAGGCCATGTAGACTTAATCTAAGAAATATATAGTTCTTATTGTAAAGCATTTTTCCATACCATCTTAATGATTGTAATAGACTTTAAGAATTTAAAACTATCAATAATGCATTTTTTTTGTTTTTCCAGAAAGACTTTATTACAATTTTTATTACTGCTGTTTAATCCCTGCTGGTATAATCTCTTGTGTTGTATTTATATAGTGCATCATGTATTTGGAAGCATTTTTACATTCATTAATAATTTTATTTTGGGATTACAGCAATTGCATAAAGTAGGCCAGGATCTTTATTTCATGTTATTAATCTCTACATTTCAGGAAAATGGAGCTCAAATATATAAAAAAAGAGGAAGACATTATTGTGGTCTAAGCCATGTTTAATTTCCAATATGTTCCAATTAGATTTATACTAAAAACAAATGATTTCAAAATAGTGATTGGACTATGTGGATGGGTTTGAACAACTGAATTTGATAACTGGAAAGAAATTCTCAAAACTCAAGCTTTCATGACTGTAAATTGGCCTTGTTGTGTATTACAGACAGCACTTTATTTTATTATTCAAATAAGGAGAGATTCAGAGTTTCAGAAATTACCAAATATGTACCAACTACCAAAAATAAAACTACAAGTTGGTACTAAATATGTACCAAATACAAAGTTTGCATAGTCTTATTTTTTGGCTTTATTTGGTATAATCACACCTATCATTTGGTGAGTTTTGTGTTCTAATCCATTTGAGAAAATATAAGATATAGCAAGGAATGAATATCATGGCAAAGTGGAAGAACTATAATGGGAATAAGCCTACAGTTCTAATCTTGGCTCTGCCATTGGCTCATGGTGTCCTTTAGCTAAGATTCTTACCATTTTGGGGACTTCTTCCTCTTAAAAGAGTGGCGATAGAGTGATTGGCTGAATTAGTTGAACTCAAAGATATGTTTTAAAATATTATGTTTCTGGAAGTCTCATTAATACTACATTGTCCTTTGAATCCATAATTAAGTACAAGTTTCTTTTGGTATCATATTGTTGACTAGTTAATATAAACTTTATTGTGGAGTTTTATATATGAGCTATTGGAATGCAAAGTAATGCAACCTTTATTGTCATGGCTTATAACACTTACCTTTAAGTGTGGCTGGTGGGGTTTTTGTTGTAGTGAAAGTATAGATAACAGACAGTGGTCCTTTACCAGCTTCATTACATGCCTGGATTTTAAATTCATACTGAGTATATTCACTCAATCTTTGCACTTTGTGAGTCTGACAAGGTCCATGGTAAATGACAGAAAATCTGGGAGTGGGAATCAAAATGAGAGAAGAAATATTATTAATCAACAGTCATACAGGTCAAAGTAGCTCTATATAACTGACTTAAAACTGGTTTTAAAACTTCAATAAGGCCTAAATAAATCAACTTGAAGCCAAATATGTAAAACACAAAAGAAAAATTCTGCGTAAATGTCTTTAACAGCAAGGTGCTGGCTTTCATATTTCTTCAGTAACCTTTTTTTAAAAAAGATTTTATGGGGGAATTGGGGAAGGGGAACACTGTTGGGGAATTGGGGTAGGGGAACAGTGAAGTTGTTCTTCAGTCTTAGTTGTGGAGGGCGCAGCTAGCTCAGCTTTAAGTCCAGTTGCCATCCTGCCACCCGTCGGCAGCTTGTGGCTGCTCAGTTCAAGGTGTTGTGTTCAATCTTAGTTGCAGATGGACACAGCCCACCATCCCATGAGGAAGTGGAACTGGCAACCTTGTTGCTAAGAGGGTGTGCTGTAACCACTGAACTATGCGGCCGCCTGTCGGCAGCTCAGCTCGGGCCCAGCTCACTGGCCCATGTGGGAATCAAAACGGTGACCCTGTTGCTCAGAGCTCACGCTCTTAACCAACTGAGCTGCTCGGCCGGCCCTCTTTGCTAATTTCTATCCCCTGGTATTAATGTATGTTGTATGAAGAAAGAAGTGTTCTGGAAGAGGCAAAATAGAGAGCTAAATTATCAGTAGGAGTTGAAGAAAGTATATCTAACACAATAATGAGCTGCTTTCACATATATTAGTTCATTGAAACCACTGGGATTGAAGGATTAAGGTAGGGAATTTTAAAACATTTTTACTATAATACTTGTTAAATAGTAAATTAATTTACCTGCCAGATTGATCTCCCATTAACAAATTATAGCTTCTAATGTTGGAAAGTGACCCCTTTTTTGAAGAGTTACCCCACTTCAGTTTGAGGCTCTGGTGTCCATAGACCACACACTCAAGATGTGGAGGCTCTGGTGGTAGTGGCTTGGTTTTGATTCTTATTGATTGGCTAAAAGGGCTTAGTCCATAATGATTGATAGCTTGAATTCTGATTCTAGTGGTTAGAGGAAAAAAATTAAATTATATTAATTTAGATTTAGAAAAGAAAATAAATTTCTACATTTAAGCTAAACCCCTAGTAAGCCTATGTAGGATATTGACCATCATATACCAATTATTAGAGACAAATTTTTAAAACAAAAATCTTGAATTTGCATAATTACTATTGATAATTCTTGATAAAAAGAAAATGGCTCTAGTAATGCCAAATTTTTCTAAAACACTAAAACTCTCTTTCAAAGGAACTATTATATTATGTAGGCTATATAAAACATATAACTGTTGATTTGCTCAAAATTCTCAAAAAGCTTTCCATCTACTCAAAGGAAGATATAAGTGACTTACTTGTATATGGTATCAGGGTGCAGATTTTTCAGAAGACACTCTGTTACTCTATCAACAGTCAAAATTTTTTTGTCTCCATATTCAATGCGATATCCAGTGATTGGAGAGCCATGACAATTTGGTTCCTCCCATTGAACAGCAATGCAAGATGATGCTAACTTGGCAGGAACTTTGTTTTCAACTTCATGCAATATTGGTACTACTGCTGGTACAGTTGCCGGTGTGGTTACTGTGCCAGTTCCTCCAAACATTCCAAATCCAACTATATTTACAGCCTGAAAAAGTATACTGTGTTAGAGATTTATTTGTTTTTGTGTATAAACCATTTTGCTGACAAAAAAACAACAAAATAAATTCTCTTAAACTCAAATTCTAACAATATTGTCCTTTAAAAATATTGAGATACAATCGACATATACCGTTATATAAGTTTAAGGTATATAACGGGTTGATTTGCTACATGTATACTTTGCTATGTGAAACAATATGGTTCTAAGATGCTGACATACACACTGAAATCTTTAGGTTGCATGTTTAGGAAGATGAAGAGTCTAAATATGGAAGGTGAGTGAAGAGTGATAATATGGACACTTAAGGAAAAACATACTCAAACCGAAGTCATTATTCACCCCACCAAATTTTCTGCCTTTTCTTCATGTTGTAGTTTATCTCTCTGTTGGTGTGAGCCCAAAGATCACATCCATTCATCAAGTTCCACTGTTTTTACAAGAACTTTTGAGATTATTGTAGACTCACATGTACTCTTCACTCACTTTCCCCCAAAGGTAACATTTTTCATTACTACAGTAAAATATTGCAATTGGGAAACTGACATTGATAAAAATCCACTGACATTCAGGTTTCACCAGTTTTACATGCATTCATTTGTGTATTAAGTTCTACACAGTTTTATAACATGTGTAGCTTCATGTGACCAACAACATGTTAAGATACAGAAGTTCCATTACAAGAATCCCTTGTGCTACCCTTTTATAGTCATAGCATCATCTCTCCCTCTCCCTTTTTCTAATCCCTGGCAATCAGTAATTTGTTTTTCATCACTATTAATTGTCATTTCAAGAATGTTATATAAATGGAATAAAACAGTATGTAAATTTTCCAGATAGGGTTTTTTTCAATCAGCCGATTTCTCCTTAATTCTCCTGAGACCCATCAAAGTTGTGCATATGGGTAGTTTGTTCCTTTCTGTTGCTGTATAGTATGCCATGATATAGATATACAACAGTTTGTTTAACCATTTAACTGTTGGAGGATAGCTGAACTGTTTCTAGTTTTAGGCTCTCACAAATAAAGGTGTTATGAACATCAATATACAGGTTTTTATTGTGGACATAAATTTTCATTTTTTTGGGATAAGTTCCCAAGAGTGCTGAACAATTAATAAGTACATGTTTAGTTTTGTAAGAAAATGCCATACTCTTTCCCAGAGTGCATGCAATTCCCACCAGAAATGTTTGCATAATCCAGTTTCTCCCCATCTTTGCCAGCATTTACTGTTATCACTGTTTCTTATTTTAGCCATTCTGATAGATGTGTTATGGTATCTCAACACTTGTTTCCTTAATGGCTAATGATGTTGAAGATCTTCTCATGTTCTTATTTGCCATTGGTATGTGCTCTTTTGTGAGTTGTCTGTTCATGTCTTTTGCCCATCTTCTAACTGGGTTGTTTGGATTTTTAACTGTGGAGTTTAGAGAGTTTCTTATATATTCTAGATATTAGTCTTTTTGTCAGATATGTGTTTTGTAAAGATTCTTTCCCAGTCTATAGCTTATCTTTCCATCTTCTCCACAGGGTCTTATGCATAGTGCAAGTTTTTAAATTTGAGGTCAAATTTATTAATTTTTCATTTTATGGCTTGTGCTTTCGGTATCAAGTTTAAGAACTCTGCCTAGTGTTGATCCTGAAGATTTTTTCCTGGGATTTTTTTCTAAAAGATTTATAGTTTTATGTTTTAATTTTAAGTTTTCTATGGTCCATTTTGAGTAAATTTTTGTATAAGGCAGGGATCAGCAAACTTTTGAGACAGAAGAGCCGCCAGGGGTCAGCAAACTGCAGTTTGCAAGCCACATGTGGCTCTTTGGGTACATGTGGCTCTGAAGTAAAATTGAAAATGAAGCCATCTGGTCTAGGGCTTTTGTTTGCTGTGAGCTTGTTGATTACTGATTTGATTTCCTTGGTAGTAATCAGTCTATTCAGATTTTCCATTTCTTCTTGAGTTAGCTTTGGAAGGTTGTATGCTTCTAGAAAATTACTCATTTCTTCCAGATTGTCAAATTTGATGGCATATAGTTGCTCATAGTATTTTCTTAAAATTTTTTGTATTTTTGTGGTGTCGTCACTTCTCTTTCATTCCTGATTTTACTAATTTGAGTCCTCTCTCTGCTTTTTTTCATGAGTCTGGCTAGAGGTTTGTCGATTTTGCTTATCTTCTCAAAAAAACACCTCTTGGTTTCATTGATCTTTTTTTTTTTCTGGTCTCTATTTCATTTTTTTCCGCTCTGGTCTTCATTATCTCCTTCCTTATACTCCCTTTTGGCTTATTTTGCTATTCTTTTTCCAGTTCCCTGAGGTGTAAGTATAACCTGTTGACTTGAGGTTTTTCTTGTTTCTTTAGGTAGGCCTGCACTGCTATGAACTTCCCTCTTAGAACTGTTTTGCTGCATCCCGAAGATTTTGGGTTGTGGTGTTTTCATTTTTGTTTCTAAAGGCATCTTTTGATTTCTTCCTTGATCTTTTTGTTGACCCACTCGCTATTTAGTAACATGTTATTCAGCCTCCATGTATTTGTGTATTTTCCAGGTTTTTTCTTGTAGATGCCTGACCACTGCACTGTACATCTGAAGCTGCCATTGAATAATATTGTATGTCAACTATAATTTTATATATATATATATGGTCACGGGATGTGGAGTACAGTGTGGGGAGTGGAGTCAATGAAATTGTAATAGATATGTATGATATTGGGGGTGGTGGATTGGGGGAGTGTTGTTGTCACACTGTGGGGGTGAAAAATATAGTTATTGCATTGTTTTGTACACCTGAAACTAATAAAAAAATGAAAATAAAACTATCAGTTTCATTTACAAACTTTTGAAGGATATTATTCACATAATGGTGATTATGTAAAAACATATTTATGGCTCTTGAATAATTTTTAAATTGTTGTCAGGGACAGGATTGGCTCTTCCAGGGATCGGCAAACTTTTGAGATGGAACGTACCCAAAGAGCCGCATGTGGCTCACGAGCTGCAGTTGGCCGACCCCTGGTATAAGGTGTAAAGCTTGTTGACTTAAAATTTGCCTATAGATATCCAGTTTCTCCAGCATAATTTGCATCTTGTCAAAAATTAGTTGAACATATTTATGTGGGTTGACTTCTGGGTTCTTTATTCTGTTCAATTGACTTATGTGGTTATCTCTACATTAACACGACACTGTCTTGATTACTGTAGTTACTATACTAAGGTTTAACATTAGGTAGTGATTTCTTCCACTTTATTTTTCTCTCTCCAGATTGATTTGTCTATTCTAGGTCCTGTGACTTTTCATTATAAATTTTAGAACTAGATTGCATGTATCTGTGGTCAATTGATAATGATTATATGATTTTTCTTCTCCAGCCTGTTTGTATAGTAGATTACATTGGTTGATTTTCCAATTTTGAACCAGGCTTGCATACCCTGGAATAAATCCCACTTAGTCATGGTGTATTCTTCCTTTTACATGCAATGCTGGAATGGATATGACAACATTTTGTTGAATGTTTTTTTTTTGCATCTAAATTAATCAGTTATTGGTCTGCAGTTTTCTTTTCTTTTTTATACTGTCTTTGATTCTGGTTTTTAGAGTAATACTGGCCTCATAAAAAGAATCAGGAGTTCTCTCATCTATTTTATGGAAGAGACTATTTCAAATTGGCATTAATTTTTCTTTACATGCTTTGTGGAATTCTCCAATGAAACCATCTGAGCCTGGAGATTTTTTGTTTGTTTGTTTATATTGGGGAACATTGTGTTTTTCCAGAACCCATGAGCTCCAAGTCCAGTAGTTGTTTCAATCTAGTTGTACAGGGCGTACCTCAGTGGGGATGGAATTGGCAACTTTGGCGTTATGAGCACTGCACTCTAACCCACTGTGCTAACTGGCCACCCCGTTTTAGGTTTTTTGTTCTTTTTAAAGATTTTATTGGGGAATTGGGGAAGGGGAACAGCCAAGTTGTTGTCCTTCAATCTTAGTTGTGGAGGGCGCAGCTAGCTCAGCTCCAAG